GGTGGCGGTGGCGGCGGTGGCGGTGATGGCGCCAGCGGCTGTGGCAGTGGTGGCGGCGGCGGCGGTGGTGGTGGTGGTGCAAAGTTTACTTGTTGTCAGCACCTGTTCTTGTTCCTACGGATGTGGAACGGCAGGATGAAGGCAAGTAATTCTCCGTGAAATACCCGCTGCGTCAGAGTGGTCGTCATTGTTGTAGTAGTCGGATTTCTAGTCGCCGCAGTACAACTTTGCCACAGTGTCGGGATAGTAATTAGATCGAAACCAACAGGCATGACCTGGAGCTTTCGGGGACAAGACTTTTCAACGACTCATCGCCTGGCAGGTATGGCAATCCAGCCAGAACCTGGTTTATCCTGGACCCAGAGGCGAACATGAAGTTGCTCAGATGTGCACAGAGGATGCTTTGTATTGTTTAACTACAGTTGTATGAAATTCCCGAGCTTGATCGGTTCTTGCCTCTTCATGCTACAGAAGACCCTCACAGAATGCCTCTCCATGCAAGGCTTCCAAGCTCGATCAGCCCCATGCCCCTAGCCCCATAAACCCTCAACTCGGGGCTAGGTATTCCGACACCATCAACCCAAACCAATCTTAAACTTTGGTTTTCACCTAAAGCCCTGAACCCTAAGAAGCGCAATCCAGGCTGGGCATGCGACAGTTTGAGCGAAAGTGCATGGACGCGACCTCAGGGATGCCGGCAGATGTTGTCCTTGGCTTGCGAGCTACATCCCTAAGATATATTAGGGTTGAGGTACTTGCGTGTCGGGATTTGGGAGAACAGGGTCTAGGCCTAGCTTGGGCGCAGGTTCAGGATTAGGCGTTTGAATGTCTTGGATTTTGACCTCACGGTTGCCGGATTCCAAGGGTCCGTGCTGCTAGGGCAGACGGCTCAGGACATTGGCTTCCGTGGGCACATTCCCGCGCTTTGGAAGCCACTTGGTTCAGCAATTTTGGTACTGCCAAGAGAACCCTTATGAAATGAGACGAAGAGGGAGGAGATCACAAACCAGCGGCACAGAGGGTCCACATCCGTAACAGCGTGTGAATCTTTGTTCAGATGATCTCGTACGCCTGCAATGAAGGGACGTCAGGCTGCTTATGGATTCTGACAGGATGTCCATGTTTTACCGAATGAGGCGTCGTGATTTCTAGAGGGCTCACTGGAACACTCACGCCATTACAGCTTCAACTGGATTATATGGATCCTCATCAGAAACAACACTCTTAGAGACGCATGTTTCCCAAAAGAGAGGGGACCTAGAAGTCCAAGTCAACCCCTAAGACCTGAATCTTAAGCCTTAAGCCCCTCCACTCTAAACCCAGGTACATGGACAAGCGAGATTCTGGTGTCGTAACCCTCCTGGACCTACACACGGCATCCTGGTCGCAGACATTGGAGTGGCTCAAAACTGTGTTGGGGAGGAGGGGGGCGGAGGTGAATGGCAGTTTAGAAAGACCCACAAGGATGATGTCTAAGATTTGCGGTACATTTTGGAGCTACGCCCTGCAGATGTTTCCAGAAGCCACTCCATGAACCGTTGTAAACACATAAGCCAGGCCTTTGAACCCCTGTCTCTACTGTCAATGTTGACTTGAGAACCACCCAAATCTACCAAAGAACACTTGAAGTTTCAAGCCCCGAACCCAGATTGACGCCGGGCACGCAGCATAGATCTGAAACGCACGCCCCCAATCGGGAGCTAGTACTTCCAAGACCTGAAAGGGATAGGGAAGCGCCGGAGTTCGGTATGACCAACACTTGTTCTCATTACGTGCGAGCACTCGAATGTTTGTAAGTAAAGACCTAACTTTTTTATATAACGTGTTTGTATTTTAAAGACAATGAGCATCAACCCTGCTGGACCTTGCAAGTATTTGAACCCCATGGGTTACACGGTTACGCCTCAGGACTGAAAGACAGGCCTTGCTTGCCACATGGCCCCCTCCCTGACAAACCACGTATTTCAGACGGAGAACGGCGGATAGCTACAACAAAAAACCTGTGCGGTCTCACGTGCATTTGTGTAGCCCCAGGCTCTTGCAGTGGCAGTGTTGTTACAGGTGCAAAGCCGCAAACATCTAACTCCTCCATCCCAGCCTGGTGCCCTCAAAACCTTAAACTTTCCTGAGCCTAATTTGTTCAACAAAGTCAGGTCACTGCCATGGAGTTGGCGCGCTTCAAGCTGCTGATCCGTGACCGATTTAGGCAGCACCGCTCCAGGATAACATCAAAGGTATGGGCTTTGGCGGTTCTCAGGAGCTTACGGTCTACTTCGCATTCAGGATTAGAGTTTGGGATGTTTTAGTTTGAGGTTTAGGATTCAGGGCCTGTAGGACTTTGAGTTTAGGGTTCAGATTTGTTGGCCTAATGCTCCCAGGGCTTCAGAATTTATTGCCTGTCAAGGCTGAAGATTTGGAGGTTTGCCGTGATAGTCAATACCACTAGCACAGATGGCTCACAATCAGCAGCACGGTCATTATGCTTGCAGTAAAATATTATGGTCCTCATCCTGCGTACAACCAACATCACAGCCAATCTCCGCAACAACAAACTCAACAGCTCAAACATCCTGCCGTGAAATTACTGAAGTTTTCCGTCGTTGTCTGAGATGAATCTTCCGCTTCCTCCTCCATACAGTCAAATTAGGGTTTCAAACAAGCTTGCTACTAGTATGCTGGAGCCCCAAAGCTCATAGACATGTATTACGAATACTGTATTACATGCACAAGACCTGAAATGCTACTAGCTATATAAATTGCCACGATAGTCAACAAGATCTCGGATGCCGATCCCAACTGCGTTGGTAAAGGCTTCCGAGATCTTAGTTCGTAAGCGGCCAGGGACAGCGCTGCCGAAATGTTCCGATTCCTGGACGACAACCGCAGCGGCCGCGTGAATCGAGCGGTTCGGTTTCAAAACTGCTCACCGTAAAAAAATCTTCTCCCCGGGGATGTTTTGCGGTGTATGTCCTTTTGGGATTTTCCAGGGCTTTTGGAGCCGGGTTTATGGAAGAGTCATTTGCAGCAGGACCCATTCATTGCCAGCGCCTCTGCTCCGAGGGCATGGCGTGAATCCGGGATTCTAGTGGTTGTTCTATGCTAAAGTGTCATCCTCATGTCTTGGCTGGTTTAACTTTAGGCTGTTTTAACTTGGCCTGTGCCGTACTGCAACCCTGAATTATCCAGACTCATTAGGAGAGGGGGTCCTTGCATGGTCTCAGCATAATACCCCCGAAAAGGATGTAGTTGATGGCACTTGGTGTTTCACACCTTTGCGCTAAGTCCTTCAGCCCAAGCTCGGATAGTGTCGACTTCATGTCAATGCTTTTTCTGTTTGATTTGTCATTACGGCCCTAAGCCCTACAGGTAGTAGTTGCCATTTTTTTTCCATTCCCGAGACTGAAATGCCTTGACCACTAAGATCACCTTCTCAGCGCGCTTGCAGACGCTCCACTACCGGGGCACCTGGACAGATCTTGCGTTCAGAGCTTCAGGGCGTGGGGTCGGGATGGTTGGGTGGGCGTCGGAGCGCCACAGCGCATCCAAACAATCATCGCGTTTGGTTCATGTCCTTACTCCGGCCAGAAAAATGTTGCGTAATGGGGGGGGTTCTGATTATAACCCCCCCCAACAAGTAGAGGGGTCAGAATAATCGGGCGGGTCCCAAACAAGTTCGGGAAAAGTTGTTTGGGGGGCCCGGGCCAATCCCGAACCTTGAGCCTGTAAATAAAATTAGAAGCCCGAACCTAACGCCCTGAACCTGTAACCCTGACTCCCAAACCTGAAACCTTAAACCCTAGGCCCTAGACCCAGATCTTAATTAAATTAAATAATCCTTAAACCTTAAACCCTACGCTCTAAACCCTGGACCTTAAGCCCTAGATTCTAAAGCCTAATTAAACCTTAAACCGTGCCTGGGCGTTTCCAGAAGCCAGCACCAGATCTACTGGACTAGTTTGACTGTCAATTATAAACTTTGAGCCTTGTAATATATAGACTCTAAGTCCTGGAGCTCGGATGCTTGAATCCAGTGTATGTTATCCTGGCATTTTAACAGTCAAGCCCCAAATCTGATGAATGGCCACATTGTTGGGGGCTCTTGTTCAACGGTTTGCGCTTTCTTGGGCACGCACCTAGACAGAATTGAAGGGCATCCTGTCATAGACCATTTGTCATGGAACCTCCTCTGACGACAACTGGTGCGGGCTGTGTAGTGAAGCCGGGCAGTGCACACAGCATGGTTCTTTTGTTGCCCATGTCAGCCTATACACTCCGTGCGAAATCCTGAACCCTGACACCCGACCCCTAAACCGCAAGTACGAGCTTTTTCAAGCATTGTTCCTCCTTTTTGGGGTCCTAGGTCACTCGCGAAACAAGTTTATATCACTTTCCCTGGGCTAGTGAATCCTAACGGAGGCAAGGCGTCAAGCCTCTTCCAGTACCTCGACCGCCAGGGCTTGGGCGCCACCGGGAATGCAATCTGATGGTATCGCGAATCATTCGTGATCTTGTTTTTTCAGTGGTTTCCTGATTTTTTGATATCAAGGATGAAGTTCAGTGTTGTATTCAGCATGTTCCACCCCCGTCTGAAGGGTCCTTGTGCACCCCGATTGAGCAAACGATGATGAGAATGATGCCCCAATTGTCTAGTGCAGCGGTGGATGATGCAACGGGACGATCTTCAAACCATAGGGTCTCAGAAATCCACTGTTTGGGCCCCGGAGTCCTTGCTCTCCTATCTTCATAACCAAGCCGAAGAGGAACGCGGCAGTCTTGAGCAGGTATCCTGAAAGAGTGCCATCATGTTGGCTCATTAATGATGTGAACTTCAGCTTGTTGTAGACAGCCATTCTGTACGAAGAGACTGCCACTTCCAGATGTTACAGAAGCGCCAGAGTTCCCACTTGCTCCCGCGGTCAAGTCTTCAACCCTACAGTTGTTCTAGAGATCCCAAGGTGGAAAGTTACTTGATCTGTCGCATACCTATCATGTGTCTAGTCCGTTCAGCATTCTATCTGCCTCCTGCTGAAGGCTGATTGTTGCCACACTTCTGTCCCACCTGGATAGTCAAGCCACCACCAGCCTCTCAACTTACGGTATAGGTGAGGAAATCTGGATGGTTTTGAATCTTTGAGGGAATTCAGATCATAGGCCATGGAAATACCAAGCACGATCCCTACATTTGGGACTCCTCAGCCCTTTGTCCCTCTGTCATATAAGCCCTGAAAGCCCAACGATGAATCCTCAATCCTACACCTTGCATTCCAAATCCTCAACCCTCAACCATAATTCCAGGCCCTATAAATGCTTTAAGCTGCAGAGTTTCTCTGGAATTAACAGCCCTCCAACAAACAATTACATGCGAGCGTTTGCCTAAGGGTCCAAGTACCAAAATACTGGGGTTTTAGGCCCACAGTACTATAATCTTAGTGGCTTTCTGGTACCTGAAGCCCTGTTATATGGGCATTTGGACCTTCAGGGCTTAGGAAACTAACCAGAAGCCCTTGGACAAGCTCAGATCTTGACGGTTCATAGCCTGGCTTTCCTGGACCGCTGGCAACTTCCAGCCTACATGACCCTCTGACACAGTTTGGGGGTCGGGGAAAGGCGGTGGCGTGGAGCAAGGGAGGGATATTTAAAAGGGTTATAGCTGGTTATAGGCACAAACAGGCACATATGTGTATGTATGTATACATATATATATATATCTGTATGTATATTAATCGATATAGATATACGGATTCAGGGTGTAGCTCTTCTCAAGGTATTGATGGGACTTGTTCAGGGACTCTGCTTAACAGGTATTTTGTGGGGGTTATGATTGCGCGAAACAGCCGGAATCGTGGGGTTCAGTTCTGTCATGCTTTGAAGTAAGTCAGCATGCTACGTCGAACGGATGATTGTCAAAGGGTCATGGCATTTCGAATCTCTGTGTCAAGAATGGGGCTCTAGCCAAAGTAACGGCTACACGGACTCAGAGCTCAGCGCTTCAGAGTTGCAAGGTTCAATGGCTGAAGCTCGCGGGTTGAAGAGAACGGGGTTGCAAGCTTCTGCATCGGAATTTTTCAGGGTTGGGAAGCTTCGTGGTACTCGCACTGTTCTGGGTCCGGACCATGGCTGAAACTAGGGCTCGGGATTCTAGATGCGGAGAATATTGGTTTCAAGGCTTCATCGGCTTGAGCTCCAGGCAAGCCAACAGCAAAGCCTCTTGTGTTACCATTTGGTTCTCTCGCAGGCCAAGACAGCACCTTCTGTTTCAATGGTGTTCAGATTAGAGACTGACATTCTTCAAGCTTTTTTGTCTGAAGGTAAAGATGCAGATTTGCCACGTGAACCTAGTACAGACTGCGGACATGAAGCACATTTGCCGAAGCCACTCAGGCCGTAGTCTGTTTTCCAACCTCGTCAGGTTTCAGCTGTATGTCCTTGCTCCATGATGCTGAGACGCTGAGGTACTACCAGCCTGATCCAAATGCCATGCGCGTGATCAAGGTCGCAGGGACGTCTTGAACGGCTTGACACTTCTTCACACTGGGCGTGCAAGAAGTAAATGGGTGTAGCGTAAATATGTCCATTCTGGTTTTCGCCACCGTTGCAGAGAAGTCATCCTTGCTAATTACTTTGCACTTGCATCGCCAAAGCCCCTTCAGCATGACCAAAGCGAACGCTCGATTTCCCCAAAGTGAGCCAGTGTTGGACTTGGACATTAATAGAGACGCTTCAATTGTAATCTACAGCATGCCTGAATGCAAACTACACATTATCATCTGGGGGTTGTACAATACCCCCCCTCCCCGCGCAGAAATTAGTCAGGCCCACACATTCCTCCAAGTGGTACCGCGAGCCCGAAAGACGAGAAGAAAATAGACCGGTACTACTCCACGGTGCACGAGAGAGGGCCCCAATTGACGCTTCTAACAGGGATACGGAGCTGGCGATTCTTGAGGTATGTCTGACCGAGTGAATTGTCTTGCTTCTTGCAGACAACAACCTCGACAACAACCTCAACTTATCAGCCAAAACCTGGGCGTGCATCAGCCCTTGCGACAGCACAGAACAAAATTTGGGTACTACATTCGCTATCCCGCTTCGGAGCCCAGGTCTGACTGCCAGTGAGCCAAGCTCCAGACCCCAGCCCCAACTTCAGACCCCAAATCCTAACCTTGAAATCCTAAACTAAGCATTGGTCCGCAAATCCTAAACTTGTAGGGGTTTGCATTGCGCGCGACGACAGGCGAAGCTTCTGGAGCTACACCAGCATCCCCTCATCGCCTGGCGCAAGATCGACAAGGCTCCTCTGGATGAGGGATGGTTCGAGCTAAGCCCGAGGATGTAGGGCTTAGGGTGTAGGCTTCAATTGGGGTTCAGGGAGCTGGCGTTTAGGATGTGGAGACGTCATTCCAGAACACCTGGGCTGCTCGCAGCGGTGCGTAGCTGCAGCACCTAGAGCTGATGCCATTTTAGGTTGTCGTTCTGAAGGCCTTTGGGGCATCACGGTGGCGTGTAGTCAACGCAGATTGGTTTGAGAGATGCTCTTCGGATTTAGGCCGGGTTCAAAGGCAAGCTGGTACGAAACCGCAAGGCTGGGACCCAAGCAAACAAAGTAGGTTGTTGAGTCACTTGTGACGTATAATTATGGGACGAATTATGGATTATACATGGCTACATGGCCTATAGTACCTCAGCGGCTTGCCGGTTTTACGAGCCATCATCACTGCTCTATTACGATTGTTACTCTGATCAATAGTTTTCAGCATGTTGCTTCTCGGTATTGATTTGTCATTGTTATTGTACCTATTACTAATATTATAGTAGCTCGGGCCTGATAGATGTGCGAACAGTTTCCCACTGCCGGAGGATTGCAGCATGCGGATCTCCTACGACACCTGGCCTAAATGGCGGTTCCGACAACAAGGGGCCCGTTCTTGGGGGGTACCTGATGTATAACAAGGTTCACAGTATTCTGTAACCTTTTGTTGTGCCCAAATATTAATTGTGGACATCCCCAAGTCCATCAGTCCAAAGCTTTTGTGCCAATGTATCCAGACAGTCTACTACTGTGTCGGGTAGTTGTGGGAAGTCAGGGCCTAGGGTTGGAAGTTTGTGTAAGTAGTAGCATGTAGTGGAGTGTTGTTTGAGTGTTGTTTAGCCCAATTCTGCGCACAAATTAGAGACTCAGGTAGGAGAAGGGTGCCATGAAGGGTTGTGAGGCCCACTGGATCCTCTGCTCTTGCCCCAAGCCCGGCTGACAAATGCCCGACGCCTTTGAGAAGCGGTTTGGCAATTGTTCTGTGTGACTGGTGAAACTTCACTCAGCACCCACAAAGCTCACACAAGGACGAATTCCGCAACTACTGGGGCGATCTGCTTGCGAACAACAAGGCTCTAGTCATCTTGCGACTGGCTGTGACGTTTGTATCTAAAGTAAGGGCCACTTGTGAAATTATGGAATGAGATCATGTTTCAAAGACTTTCTTAGGCTATTTGTCAAAGTTGCGGGTGCTCGGCTTTGTGAGAAGGTATCCAATAGCCATTTTAAGATCACCGTGACATTTCACGAGAGACGGCTGATCTTTAACAGGGACGGACGGTAGATAAGACAGGTTCTGTTTGTCAATTTGAGCCCTGCAACATGTGTAGATTGCAACACAGGAGATGCCAAAGTTCCCTTATAGAAGCAGTTTGTCAATTCGATGCACGCAGAATCTGTAGCAGAAGACATCATAGAAGCAGAGGCCTTCATATTGCCAATCATGTGCTGCAAACATAACTAGCAGCCAAATTGCTGGAGGGCCCTGCTTGCTTACCCCGACCAAACAGACTGCAAGCAAGCCGCAAATCTTCCATCAGCTAGCAGAGGCCTGTTTCTCAGTCATTGGATTCATGGCTTCTATCACCCCTAATCTGAGTGGCGCATGTGAGTCTTCTGTTCTCACAGCATGTTATTTCTCAACAGTAGGGCTATGCTGTCTGCCCCAAATGAGGGGGTTTGTAGGCTAGGGTCCAAGAAAGCACGGCAAGACAGAGACTCGTGCAGACGGCCGCCCTGCAAATGCCAAGCTTTCAGCCCTGAACCTCCATCCCATAACCATAGACCTGTCGCAATAAGCCCCAATGCATCCTGAGCCTGACATACAGTACCTGTGGCTTCTACACCCTCAGCCGTCTGCAAGTCTCAGCGCCAGGCTGTAGCAGCACAAGCTGCTAACCTCCCACGCACAGCACCTTGCCTTCCCCTTTTGGGTTTGGGAGTTTAGAGTCCCCGGCTTTTGACTCATTGGATGTAGGGCCTTCGAAAGCTTGGGCTTTGTTGCTTCATGCTTCGAGTACAAGATGTTGGGTCTGGAATTGTGGATTTACGGCCTTTGATTTTCCCGACCCAGGTCAGGTTTTTGCAGGGAGCCTGTCAGGAAACATGTGTTTTGTATATAGGGCTTCTATACCCTGACAGGGGCCCAAGTAATGCTCAGGAACCCACCTGATCTTCGTGTTGATCTTCTTAGTAACGTCCTGCGACATGCACAAGAACAGGCATACTTACATATGTTCAACGTCAGGGCCGACATAATTCAGGGGTACAGAGAGTCATTTTGAAGTTTCACAGTACCATGAGATTTGCTGGGTGTTTTCTGATGCCCTGGCACACAGGCAGCTATACCTTTGGTGCCCGCCCAATCCCTAGATGCCCCAAGTCCTATGCATGCGACTCGGAAACCTTCTACCAAAGTCCATCGATCATAATCACCAAGTCTCTAGAATCCTTCAAGTCTCCAAGGACCACAAATCCTAAGCCTAAGCCCCACACACTCAAACATCTGCTAGCAGCGTCCCGCATGCCCTCAAGTATACTAAGCTGCAGTTGTTTCAGGGCTTCTCGCCTGAAACCTATACACACCGGTTCCCGGAAACCCAAGCCTCTTGAACTCGAAGCCAGAACTGTGGAGCCTAAACCTTGACACCTCAACCATATGCACACTATACAGAAGAAATCCTGAATCCTAAACCCTAGACTTTGGAGTGGGATTGACTTGCCAGTCAGGTGAGGGGTCTGCTCCTTGCAGGACCGTGCCTTGAAGACATGTTCAGGGATAATATGCCTTGGAGAAACGGTCCGACAAACAAAAACCCTAGACCCTCCTATCTGATCTGGTCCCTGAACAATGAAAGTCTGGGTCCCAAGCGCCTTGTAGTAAGGAGAGTGATGTGGCGGCAGCTTGGAGATCGATGGATAAGGCCGGGCCACTGTTATGAGATCCTCGCAGCCTTGGACAGGATGGATGGAACAAGGGTTTGTTTGTTTTGGAGGTTACAGGTGTATTGGGGCGGCATGATTTTGCGGCGGCGCTTTTGGTTGCAACATGGGTTGCGGAAAGTGTCCACCAGACAAGCCAGGGTGCGAACGAATCTTCTAGGGCTTCCGTTATGCAGAAGCCTGCTTATTTAGTAGTACTATCCCTGTATGGCCCTCGTTTACTTTAAGTTCCAGTCACTTAGGCACCTACATTAGGAGGGTTCAGGCAGGTATGCAGTCCTTGTTTTGGATTTTTTTGGGAGATGTGAAGGGCTCGCCAGTGTTGGGGCTTTGGATGTCGACTGACGTCGGCTGATGTTTGTACAATGCGCTTAGAGCATCTTCCCTCTTTGAGTTTCAAGCTGAAAGGTTCAGCATCAGGCACCGATGCTGCCAAGCTGACCATGTGCTGAAGTGACAACTCCGTGTCCATGCCCATGTGACAGCTATTGACACAGGGAAAAAGCTTCTTCATTTGGTCAATCACTGAACATTGACCAGTTTTCTGTAAGGCTTTGGGTGCAGACAATCCTGAACTCGCAAAAGTGCGTACTGTGATCAGCTGCACCAGGAGTGCTCCGGCTACATCCAGCTGCGCAACTGGGCACCTTGGACGGATTTTCAACTTGTGTTAGATCTACTGTTTGAGGTCTTGATCCTGTCCTTCCTGTCCCCAGTAGTACATGTACCATGTTCAGACATGTCATCCCATCCATCTAAAGCCTAAAAGTGGAGTAAACGTGTAAAAGTGTCACTCCCAGTATTGTCCGGATCCTCTCAGCAAGCATCCGAGGATTGGGATAGCCACAGACACCTCGCCGAGTTCAAGCACTGGGCCGACAGGTGTCGCGGCAAAAATTGACCTGGTGTTCCCACGGATGTGCAGAAGGCTTAAGGGTGACCCCAGATTTCCCAAACAGCCATGATATCGTAGGGTTCCAAGGAGTCGTGCCTAAAATAAGAAGCCCCAATTCAGAGACGGACGCTGATTATCAGATGTCTCCTAGGCCGGTGAGCCGGACTCACAGCCTTTTTGTGTCATGGCACGTGGTGGTCTTTGCTTGTCCAGGGGCATTCGGGTAGTGCTTGGTTTCTGGGGAAGGGTCTTGGATTCAGTAGATCTAGAGCTTCGTCAAGAATTAGTGATGTTATAGAGTAGCATGACAACAGGCATAGCCTAACTGCAACAATTACTGTAGGGGACTTACAACCCTTCTCAGAGCTATCTTGGTGTTAGTTGTTTTGATACCTGCAAGTGCGACCTAGACTGGGAGACTTACAACCCTGCGTACAACACGCATGGACCTCTTAGGGAGGCTTTATGGTGTGCTGTTGGCTGATAATGCGGGCGGCATGTGATGTCAATGTCCTTCTATCATTTTAGCATTCTTCGGCACACCCTTCCTAAACTGACATATTGCGGCCATGAGTCATGTTGAAGCACCCGACCTTGTGCGAGCCTCGTTCACCAACTTTTCAAAGCTTCATTCCTCAGGGTTCACGGCACCGTTGCTTGGCTGCAAATTATTGCCTAGCCGTTGCAGGGCTGAATGTTCCAGCCTCCACGAGCTTGTATGCCGCTGTTGTGCTTGAGCTTGAGCTTGGCTGGGCACCACGTTTGATGTCTTTAATGTATCACAATCTCTTTTTCAGGACTCACCGAACCCGCAACTAGCTTTAATGCAAAGTTACGCGCTCCCCGGCAGTGAAGGACTAGATACCCATCAAGTCCAAAGCGGTAATTGTGCGAGACTACAGCCCTCGCATGATGCGGTGTCTTCTCACAATCCTTACTTCTCCCAAACAGTACACGCTGTGCAAACATAGATGCGGCGCCGTGCAAATTCACCTCTGCACATCACTCACTTCTAAATTTTCCTTATTGTTACATGGCCAGAAGCATGTATCATTTCTGTCTTTCTCCAGCGTGATGTATGCTACAAGCACCATTGCAGTTGTCGTTCCTGCATCACTGCTACACTTGCAGCCGCGAGTAGATCTGTTGTCATGATCCTTGCGCCTGCCAGTGCCATCATATCATCCCT